AGCCCCAGCCTCAGGAGCTTGCTGCGCCTCCCAGCACATCCTGGGTGTAGCGCGGTGGTGGGTCCTTGGGAAGTGCTGTCAGGGTGTCTCCTAGTCCCCATCTAGTCATGTCTGGCGAGCCATGGGTTCCAGAGCTGTAGAGCCAGGGTTCGAATCTGAACCTGACCACTAACTTGCTGAGTGGACTCGGCTTCAGATCCCTCATCTGTCCACTCGTAGGGCACTGTGATCCTGTACTAACAGCCAATATTTACGTGGCACTTGTCTGTGCCAGGCTGGGCACAGGGCTGCAACATGGCTCCCCTACCTCTTAACCTCATGAGGGCCATGGCTGAGCCGGGCTCTTGGGGGAGCTCTGGGCCCCGATGGGGCGTGAGGAGGCCTGGAACACGCCAGCTTGTGGTCAGGCCTGGGAGGGTTGGAACCACTGGGGCACGTGTGGTCTGGCTGCTTCTGTGACGGAAAGTTCCCTTTAATCATTTCCAGGCTTGCAGTTGATTTGTGCTCCTCCTAGCCCCCCAACACAGGAGCCAGAAGGGGGTGCACCCAGGGGAACAGAGGGTCCCAGGTGTCCTGGGTCTCCAGGAGAGGGCAGTCACTCAGCCGCATCACCAGGCACTGGTGCGAGGCCAGAGAAACACCCTGGGGCCAGCCACTGGCTCAACGCCCGTCTCAACTGTGCCACACAGAATGCCGAACTTTCCTCTGGTTTCATTGCAAAAATGGGAAAATGTGGAATTAATCTCCCCTGCAGCATGGCTTGACTTCACTAGGATTCTAAAGATCTAAAACAGATGCAATAAAAGGGGCTCTCTCTGCTGGGGGGCCTAGTGAGCTATCAAAACAAAGGGGCTGCTGGGCCCAGCGCCTGCCCGGCTCCGGCTGCTCCAGCTCTGTCGCTCACTGCATGCCTGTGCTTGTGCGCGCGCACCGGCAGGGCTGGCCCACTGCCTCAGCCTTAGCCGGGCGACATGGTCTCCAGCTCAGGGGCAAAGGCCAGCCCTTGGGCAGCCTCCGGCCGCTGCCTGATGGCGGCAGCACAGGGCGGTTTCCTTGCTCCCCACTGGCCTCCTGCTCCCAGCCCAGCTCCCTCCACGATAGGTGCACGCTGAGTGCTGAGTGCTGAGTGCCTGAGCCCTGGGGACGGAGGGGCCCTGAACTGCCTGATGGCGGCAGCACAGGGCGGTTTCCTTGCTCCCCACTGGCCTCCTGCTCCCAGCCCAGCTCCCTCCACGATAGGTGCACGCTGAGTGCTGAGTGCCTGAGCCCTGGGGACGGAGGGCAGGCCCTGAACCAGCTGCCCAGGCCCAAAGGTAGCCCTCGTTGGTCGGGCGAGCCCGCCTGGCTGGGGAAGAATATGCCCCCAGCTGGGGTCTGGGACCTGGCGGGCTGGAGGGGCCCCGCCAGCTGGCCTGGGAGGGAGGAAACTCCTGGCCTCCGCAGGAAGGGGGTGCGCCCTGGGGGGCAGGAGTCCAGGAAGTGCTGTTCCTCCCCTCCCACCTCAGGACTGACTTGAGGACTAAATGCTCCGAGGCCTCCACTTCCCAGGGAAGGAGTGGAGACTCCCCTCGTGCTGACGCCTGACACGCTCCCTTGCCCAGGATCCCACAGCTGCTGCACAGAAAACCGATTCCTCCTCATCTCTCTGGGCTCAACAACTGTCTTTTTAACGGGCCCCTTTGCCCCACAGTCTGCTGCTAACAACACACAACGAGCTTGTCCCTGGAGCCCCACGTGATCTCAGGGCACAGGGCTTCTCTGCGGGCCTGCATCCCGGCCCCACCTCTGCGGAGGTCAGCTCTGCGGGAAGCAGCGAGACGCCATCTTCTATTGCGGATTAGCCATGGGATTAGGGAACCTTGACTAATTTACCTTCCTCGTGGCCTTACAGCAGTGATGGCGAACCTTTTGAGCTCGGCGTGCCAGCATTTTGAAAAACCCTAACTTAACTCTGGTGCCGTGTCACATATAGAAATTTTTTGATATTTGCAACCATAGTAAAACAAAGATGTATATTTTTGATATTTATTTATATATTTAAATGCCATTTAACAAAGAAAAATCAACCAAAAAAAATGAGTTCGCGTGTCACCTCTGACATGCGTGTCATAGATTCGCCATCACTGCCTTACAGCAACTCCTTTTAAATAAACACAGGCTTTTCCACATCATCCCCACAGGAGAAGCTATAAAAAGTGGGTTCACTCCCCCCACCCTAGAAAACTGGATGCTCCGGGACCCGTGGGGCGCTGTGCACCAGGAGGACCTGAGCCCCATGCCACCAACACTGGCTGCGTTCAAGCTCCTCCTCTCTGTGTCAGCCGCACGCAGGCCCCCAGGGAGCCAAGTGCCTGATGGGCAGGCCCCAGGGTGTGGGGCGCTGGTCACTGCTCAGCCACAGGCTCTGCTGTGCTCTGACGCCAAGGCGAGTCCCAACAGGGCTGCGCACGCGGGAACCTTGGCCTTGGCCACCTCTGCACCTGTTTCTTCAGAGGCTGACCTGTCCAACCATCTGTATCAAGGCTTCATTTTCCAGGACCTCGTAAAACACAACGGTCCTGAGTCAGAGACACGCGTGGTGGCTCCGTGGACCTGGGAGACGTGGCGCAGCAGACAGGCCAGGCTGTGACCCCGTGAACCACTGGCGGGAAATGGCCTTCCGTGGCCAGTTTTCTGGACACACCAGCTGGGCCCAGACAGCTCTCCCAAATGCCATGTCCTCCCACGTTCAAAGCTCCCTTCTGCTGCTTCTCCATCAAGCTGTGGCTACTGTGGGTCAGGCCAGCCTGGACAGCCCTCTGCAGAGTGGGGAGGCGGCAGGCCCGCCCATAGCTGTCCCCCGGACCAGCTCAGACCATGCAGGCCCGCTTGGGGCTGCCTGTCTCACCACGGTACTCACACAGCCCCTTCCCATGCCTAGGCTTGGCCCTTCCTTGGAGGGCATGGGGGTCCCCAGGAGAGTGAGAGCAAATCTCCTGGAGTCCCCGCTCCCCTCCTCCCTGCCGCCTTCCCCAGCCCCAGGCCTGCTGGGGCCACACAGGAGAACCTGAGACGCCTGACCATTCCCAGGCCCCAGAGGTAACGGCAGCCATCGCCAGCCCATCAGGCGGGCGGGGCCCTTGCGCTGCAGCTCGTCTGGGAGGGGGGCTTTCTGTCACGGCGCAGACGATGGAAGACAGAGCTGCCACCCAGCCCCCAGCGCTTCTGCCTGTGCAAAGCCAGGGGAGCCTGCGGGTAAACTGCCCAAAGAGACGGGGCTGGGAACCGCTGGAGTCAGACGCCGAGTCCCTGCTCCCGGAAGCAGCTCTAACAGAGGAGTCTCTCCTGAATGAGACTCTGGCCCGAGGGCAGCCCTATCCGTGCGGGAGGGAGGGAGGGAGGGAGGACGGCAGACCCAGGCCGGGCCAGGTGGCCACATGTGCTCATGTGGAGGCCCGCTCCTGTGCAAACAGCACCCACCACCCCTGCCTGTGACACTGCCGCCTGCAAGTGAGGCAGAGTCTGCACGCACGCGCGCGCGCACACACACACACGACACGGGGACCATGGGGGGCAGGGGGTGGATGACTCACGCTATCCCTTCCCAACAAGCTGGTCTGGGCACACCTGGAGGACTGAGCTCGGCCACCTTCCCACCAGCGTGGAACGAGACGCCTCGCCTGAGTAGCCCATCCAATAGGGACCTGCCAGGACCATGGGGGTGGGGAGGGGGGTCATGGTGTCTCGAAGCAAGCGGGCCACCCTCGCCAACTCCCGGAGCCAGCTTCTCAGTTACGACCATTCCAACTGCTAACACGTAACGAGCCTTCCACGCGTAAAATGGTGCTTCCAGGGTGCACCCCCTTACTGCTAACACGTAACGAGCCCAAAAACAGCGACGGGAGCATTTTTAGCGTTTTACTCCTCTGGATCCAAGGGCGCTATTTTTAACCATCTTCTCAGACTTCGAAGTCTGTCCTCCGAGGTTCTAATGGAGTCTACCTCCTGGCCCCTCCCTCGACAAGGCTGCAGAGAGCACGTGGCAGCACAGCTCTGACAGGACAGGTCGGGGGGCCTGTTCAGTCTCAGCGCCTGCTCCCCTCCGGGCACGGGCCTTCTCAGGCTTACAGGCTCCAGATGTCTGTCGATGAGCCGCAGGCCCACCCACCGACGCCACCGACACCAGCCTTGCCCTCCTGCCCTTCCTTCCATGGGCCCAGGTGTGCAGTCCCAGCTGGGACACTGAGACACGCTGGGGGCCGTGTGACATAAGGGGGCTTCCTCCCTTGCTCCAGGCCCAGAGGCAGGAATGAGGCCGTGGCCCTGTGTCCATTTCGTCACAGACTCAAGGGTCCTTTGCGTCCCTCCCACACCCTCACTCTATCCAAGCTGAACCAAGAGAGAGGGGTCTGTACCCAAAGCCAAGGGGGGAAGGGGCCCGAGGACCTTTAAACCTTGCCTTGTCCACCCCCACCCCCATCTGCCCCACACCTGCCACGCGGGGCTTGGCTCGTGGCCTGGACGTGTCAGGGCCCCAGCCTGCAGGCGGGCTGCTCCCTCGGCCAGGACGCTGCTCCCCAGGATG